ACCCTGTATTCACCACTATTGCAACTACATTCACAGGCTGCATAAGTGACATTTTGTTCAGCGATGGGCCACATAACCTAACGGTGGCCCTATAAGAATCAGTCAGCGGGTGACGACCTGGCTGTCTTCGTTTGTGTTCATGCTCTGTCTTGTGTCCAGACTCTAAGGACACATTTCTCAGAATGCACCCCCCCCCCATGAACACCCAACAGTGCCGAGGCAGCATGGTCCTGTCCCTCATCATGTCCCTCTTGTCTGTTCCAGTATTTGTCAAGCGAATGCATAAATTAGTGACCACACCTTCCTTCCAGCGCGCTCTGGAGTTGTCTGGCGCGGCTTCACCTGACTGCCTGAGCCGCGTTCTGGAGTGGGCACTCCCCTGAGGACGCGCCTAGCCCTGAGGAGCACTAGGCGATACCAGTTGCAAGGGAGCCAGACGCACCCTCCATTGCTGTAGCAGCTGATAGCTCTGAGCCCTGTGCAGCCTTGGAGTCCCTCTGTGAGGATGACGTGCCCACGTGGACGTTTACATGGCCCTTGGCACTCGGGCTCATCCAGCCAGCACGTGCCCTCCGAGGCCTTTGGTTCTGTGGCCAGTGCTCCGTGTCCAGCATCAGCATTCAGTGAACAGCCATCCTGCTGGCGTCCCGCCTCCTAAGCCTGAGCGTGGGATCTCCCTCCACCTGTCCACTGCCTTCCTACCACTCCCCTTCCATGGCCTGCTCGGCTGGTCCCAGGGAGAAAGCTGAGCCGACGTGACGCGTGACTTGGCTCCTCTGTCTGCGCCTTCCCCATCCAGTGTTTCCGTGATCTTCTTAGTGTTCCGGGTAACGTTTAGATACATAGTAGCATTGTACAGTCCTTGTCCTGACAGTCAAGATGGTTGAGATTGGTATTTCTGGTCTTTGTCTTTTGCCACCAGATCACTCCTCATTTCTTAATCAGTTTTGAGAATATTTTGACAGACATTTCTTGGGAAATATCCTCCTTTAGCCACACCACATTCTTCTTCAAAGTGCCATGACCCTCGTCTCCCTGGTGTCACTGGGGCTGCCCCGCAGAGACACAGCAGCAGCCAGCTAGGCTCCTGCCCTCAGGGACCTTAGAGTCTGGCAGGAGTGTGAGCATCAGTAAGTAATTACACCCCAGCACAGTGGCACACACCCGAAGTTCAGTTACCCAAGAGGCTGAAGCAGGGGGATCACTAGTTCGAGGCCAGCCTGGGCAACTTAGTCAGACCCTCTCTGGACAAATAAAAAGGACAGGGGATGTGGCTCAGTGACAAAGTGACTCTGGGTTCAATTCCCAGTGCTGGAGAAAACAACGTAATTATACAAACAATTGCTGAATTTTAGGTGTGAGAAGTCACAGATGGCAAAGGCCACCCAGGAGAGAGGGCTGAATAAGGAGGGTGGAGCCAGGAGCAGCCACTGTGGAGTGGGCACCAAACATGGCCCAGAGAGAGCTACGGCGTGCGGAGCCTGCACAGGAGGACCTGGCACACAGGGAGAACACAGGAGGAGAGGCCCCTGAGAGCCACAGGCTGCAGCATATCACTTGCCACAGCGGGGTGGGGGACACTCCTGAACCCCTGCTGTGTGGATGGTCTGAGCAGGTGGAGGATCACCTGGCTGCAGGGGATAGGTCAGCGAAGGCATTGGACACCTCCCAGCAGAAGCCAGTGCCGGGTTTAAAGCAGGACGTGGTTTGATCCGAGCTGTGCCTTGACTGGATCATCCCACACCAGTTTGGACAAGAGATTAGAAAGGAGTGCGAGGTGACATGGGAGACCGGCAGAGGGAGGGTGGGGTGCTTGGTTTCAGTGGTGGAGGTGAAGTTGGAGAGAAGGAAACAGATCTTGGCTATACGTAGGTGGGGGGATGTACTGACTGCCCGGACCGGATATTAGGGAAATCGGTCAGGACAGCTGTCTCAGGAGGTAGC